ATAATCCTCACTCCTCTACTTTCCAGATTCAGTGTAAAGAATAATCGGTGCACATGTTGCTAGTAGATGGCCAACAACATTTAGATTCAAATCGAGCTAGAAAGGTACTTGGAAGATGAGTTGGTTCCAATTGAGACGTAAAAGCTTCAAGATTCTTGATTGGTGGAGTAAAAGGACATGTTATCCCATATTGAGGAAGGTAACATGAGATATATTTACAAATTCCCAGCCATACAATTGCATCTGAATCCAAGAAAGCACTAGTGGACATGTTCTTAGTGAGCTCCAAATGAGATAATCACATCCTGGAGAGGCTTTAATGTGTTCACATGAAACCATGCCAAATACCAAGGACTTGTGGTCCCATTTGTGGCATACTCCATACATTCTACAAGTGTCATGGTTCTAAATTAATTCTTCTAATGCTTTTCTATAGGTGAAGACAATGTTGAAACTGCTAACTTTTGGAGTTGTCTTCAAGAGATCCAAGATGGGATTGAGGTAAAGTGTAAAACTAAAATTGATAAATACTTTAGTCTCTTTGTTGACTCATACTTGACTAATTGTATTTATTTTGTAAGTTGATGGATATAGGGATGGCATTAGTTTGAACTTTGAAGACAAGAGTTGGGTCAATTGGCTGCTGCTGGGCTGTTGTATCACTCCTTAGTGTTTGTTTCCAAGATTGGTATGAACTTGTCATTTTGTGTTGTAATGCCTCTTTGTGATGAGCCCATGAACTTGTAAACTTATGGTGCTACTATTGTCTCTTTGTTGTGCCAAGCAAACTATCTTTGGATTCCTAGTTGGTGATGCCTCAATTACCGAAGCACCAAGTTCTTAATTGCCCCTAAGCTGTGGTCATTTGGTTCTCGATGTCGTGTGACATGTTCTTGTGCTCTAGAACAAAGCACAGATTGCTTCTACTAAATTGATTCTTCTGGATTTCCTTTGTAGTGACCGTGGATCAAAGAGCAATTGGTTGTGCAGATGGAGACTAACTTGTGGTGGAAACTCCACAAGATACTATGTGATGGTACGAGCTCCAATCGCGGCTTTATCCTTTTTACTTTACATTGGTTCACTAGAAGTAAGTATTAATTCTCATGCATTTTGATTGGTATGTTGAGGGATTATCCCCATGATTAAATTAGTTGGGAAGGAGAGTTTGCTACCAGAATGCATTTTGACCGTAGTTGGTACCCAATTTTCATAGCCGACATACTACTACATATCATGTTTCATAAAGCACACTAAGCATAAATAATGTATATGTCTTCTGATGCTTTAGGCCTACTCGAGTTCAAAAGGCACCGGAGACTTGCACAATCCCATTAATTGTTTTAACATAAGCCTCCCGGTTGTGCATAGGGTCGGTTTGTGGTTGTTGTATTGTGCTTGGCTTGGGTAGGGTTCAAGCTGCAATGATCTTGCATTATCTCTATATGTGCAGTTGATGCGAGTCCGGATCCCGTAGAGATTAAATCCGCGCGGGGGGTTCGATGGGAAGAAGTGCTCCCCATGAACCTTCACGGGGACGGGGACGGGAAAATTTGCCCCCGCGGGGACGGGGATGGGGCAGTAACCCCCGACGGGGAATTCCCCGTTGACATTTCAAGGCCCGATTCTAATCCAATCCATTGGCCAGCTTTATATCCTAATCCAGCTTGGCCCCTTGAGAATAAAATCCCACTCCTATCCTGATCCTAATTAAATCCTAGGGCCGGATCCGTTATCTCAACTCTTGGGCACTCGCGAGGGCTGGATTGCACGCCAGATATGTACAAGTAAATACCCTTGGGCCTACTAGAGAGTTACAACGCACTCTTGCATTTGCGTAGAAATACAATGCATGCACGTTTGCATGTAAACAGAAATTCAATGCTGCCGATGTCAAAAAAGAAGAAGAAAGAAAACAAATACAATGCTGCAGATGTAAAAGAAAACAATGTTGGACGTTGGGCACTACACAGAATATTTGCATGTCAGAATCCTAAACATGCTGGATGTGTTTCATAGTCGGCAGAGCTGGCAGCCTTCATGGGTTTTTTAAAGAATATTATTTTGATAAACAATTGTAGATCTAAATGTTGTTTTTAAAAAATTACAAAACTAGTATCCTATCGGCCGTCACGGAGGCCGATATGTATCTGGAGTGGTGACATCTGCTCCATGTCATGTTTATGCGTGGCGTTAATATTGCCGACAGGCCTATCGGCCAGTCAATTGCCGATATGAACCAGTCATGCCGTCCACACACGAATAGTTTAATGGACATTTCTTATTTGTTTTTTTTCACCGAACCCAGCTCCTGCTGGATTGGACATGCCCTTTTCCTTTTGTTTTTTCTATATATTTCACATGGCTACCATGGTCCTGGTCTCAGCACGGGCATAGGCGTTTCAGGTTGAGGCACCGAGGTTGCCTACAAAGAACAGACATACAAGTTGCCTACATTTCTTATTGTTTATATCTACTCCTTCCGTCCATCAAAAAAAGAAAATACAATTGCGCTTTTTCAAAAATCAAACAATTTAAAGCTTGACTAAACTTATATAAAAATATACTAACAATTAGGAGACAAAATAAGTATCATTAAATTGAATGTAATTCATAGTTGCATTTTTTTTACGATGAGTATCAGATAACACTGGAATAAATCCAGCGCTACAACTGAAAGTGCAATGCTCCATGCACACAAACGCTACTCCTATGAGCATCGCCGTCAAATCCTAGAATAAATCCAGCGTCTACCACTGACATCACAGTGCCGTTAAATCCTTAAATAAATATAGAAAAATACGAGTTTCTGTATCAAGTCTAGGACTTAACCCGATGGACATGTTCAACCATAATAAAGCTAACCAACTGAGCTAGCTTAGTTCGCAGTCAAATACTACTTCTAATTTAATTAGTGGTGTGAAAAATGCAGTGTTCATGTTTGCATGTGACCTTATCGAAGCAATAGAACATGGCCTACTTTGAAATTAAATATTCATGTGAGCGTGTATGCATATAATTGAACATGTGCTTTATTAAGAAACTTTGGATTTTACCTAAGCATATATATAGAATATGACAAAGTACTTTGGATTTTTTTTGAATTTGTGGAGACCATTTCAGGGCTATAAACAACTTACGCAAAAACTCAAATATATCATTACGGAAAGAATTTTAATTTGAAAACTATAAAAAGCAATGATGCTAGACCCAAGCAAAATTGGTTGTGTTTGATTCTTAGTATCTACATAAAAATTACAATATTTCTTAAGGTGTTTAGGTATTTTATTTGAGATAAAAAAATAAAATATAAAAATAAATGGTGCATTTGGAAATGTTGCTAGCCAGTAGTCCAATCAGCTACCCTAAGATCGATAGGCCTATCAGCACTGCATGAGCCGACTGCACTCGCGTGCTGAAATGCCGACTTGTCTACAGTCAACTTACTGATCACCGACTAGACCATACATCAATTTTTTTCGCTGTCACGTAGGATGTCGGCCGTCAACTGGTCGATAGGTACCATGTCGGCTGCTGGATAGCCGATAGGTACCCTATCAGCTGCCCTATCGGCTGCTGAATAGCCGATAGGTACCCTGGCGGCTAGCCGAACCTGTCGACTGCTGGATAGCCGATAGGTACCCTGTCGGCTTCTGAATAACCGATAGGTACCCTGTCAGCAGTCAATACATATACTCCCACATGGATATCTTGTAGCACTGTTATATTCTAACAATCAAGTATCAAGCCAACAAAGAGAGTACAAGAAACTTGGGGCAAGCAAAGGCACCTAGCAAGAGAGAAGAAAATATGCCATCAAAATCACATGTGGGACATTTTTTAAACATTTTCTTTTATTGAAAATGTAAAAGAGCTGTTTATTATTATATTAGGAAGAAAAGGGGGAGATCCCTTACAAAACATCCCACACACACATGAAAAAGTAGTTACAAATCACATTTGCTCCAAGAAAAGATAAGGATATGACCGCTGCTTAAATAACACGCTCTACTCTGATGATTGGGCGAAAAGTTAAGAAATACCTTTAGCCCCAGCCAAACACAACTGAATTTCCTCGCTAGCGACTAGCAAGCAACAAGGCTGTAGCTAAACAAGGAGGTACACTATCAAAAACACATCTATTGCGGTGATTCCAAATGGCCAAGCCCCCCAAGAATCACAAGGGAGTTGAGGCCTATCTAGACAACTAATTCTTCAGACATAATAAAGCATTGTCAGGTACTTGAAGACTTTGAGTTTGGGTCATCGTGCCTCCTTAAAATCACCAGTACGTCGAGGGGAATTTTCTTATATGCCACTGAAAAAATTACATCTCCCTGATATGCCGTCAGTGTGACTGTGATACATGGGGACCCACCAGTCACTGATAGTGGCATATCAGGGATTTAGGTTTTACTGGCATGGGAGGAATTCCTAAGTAAAGACTAAAGTCCCAGTGTGAGAAATATTTTCATAGACTCATAAATGTTGAATGCATAGACAAGTGTGTCAATTTTATAGAGAGAAGGATTAGAGTGACACCAGTTCAGCAGATTTCAGAACTATATCTTCCATGAAGCAAACTGACCTGTTTTTAGTATATCAAAACAGTCTCACTAAATGAATGATGATTAACCAGAAGGGGTAGGTTAATCCAACAGTATATGAGGGCACTAAGTATATAATGCTACATGGATTCAAATCAATGATTGGTATAAAAATGAGAAATAATATGGTGTATGAAGCACTTAGCATAAGTACAGATACCGTAATTTCATCATGTTGGCCACTCAGTAACTCATTTATACACATACAGACCTCTGTTTTCCAAAACTAAAACAAAATACATTGAATAACTGAAATGCTACAAAAGGCAAATGTAAGTAACACTGGAATAACTATTGATGCTATTTTCAAAGGATGGCAATTTTAAAATGAAGTAACAATGGAATTACTAAATAGAAAGGCATGGAAAAAAAGATGGCTCCAACACACTCATGCTATGCGCCACCTTTTCTTCTCCTTACAGTCCTTTTCACAGGCTGCGGAGTTCCAGCAACAACTCCACTGCTCTTCTGATTATGATCATTCACAGGTTGCTCCTTCAGAGTTTCATTAGTCTCTGGGGGTCCTCTTGGTCGGGGAGGTGCTCTTGGTTTCTGAGAACTGTTTGTACTAATCTGCCTCCTTAGGCGCAGTATCTCACCCTTTGCTAACGCCAATTCCTCTTCAAGATGTCTAGACCTCAATTCAAAGCTCTCCTTCTCTGTCTGAAGCCTTGTGATCAGACTCTGAGCATCCTCAGTGTTTTCCTTAGCTTCAGTTGTGATTTTCGTTTGTTCAGCTAGAGCCTTGGATAGCATTTCTTTCTCAGCTTCAAGAGTGTCATTACTAGAATGAGTGCTCTCAAGTTCTTTAGACAGTAACAACGCACTATTGTTCATCTCATCTAGTGACTTTGTTGCCTCATCCAGGTCTGCTTCGAGAGATTTTCTTGCTTCAGAATCTACCTGCAACTGTTTCACCAAGACTTCAAGTTCCCTATTTAAGGTTGTCACAATTTTTCTTTCCTCGACAAGCTCATGTGTGGTGGACTCCAAATTCTTGTACACATCCAGCAATTCTTTCTTCAAGTTGTCACGAGCTTCAACAATAGATGCCAGCTCATTAGAGGTGGCTTCAAGTTCTTCTTGCCCCTTTTGAACCATTTCCTTTACTGAAGCCAAATCTTCTGACAGAGCTTTGGATAATGATTCTGCCTCTCCTAGTTTATTAGTGAGATCTACTTGCATTGCATTGGACTCCTCTTGGTGTTTAGAAATTTGTGATACCAGGTCCTCATTCAATTCATTTGCCTCCTCAAGCTCCTTGGAAAGTTTGGAAACCTCACTTCTGGAAGTCTTTAGAGCCTCTTCAGATGATCGAATTGAATCTTTTAAAGCTTCCATGGCCTTAAGTTCATTCTCTAGCATCATTTCGGTAGCATACAACTCCTTGTTCAGCTCAACAATTGTTTCTTGATCTTTGCTAGAGTCATGCAACAGACAGTTTTTCTTCAAGTTGTTTTATCTCATCATCTCTTTCTGATAGTAGTTTGGAATCATGGTTTGCCTTTGTCTCTGAAGCAGCCTTCAGGTCTGTATACTCTTGTATTAACTCGTTAATTTTTTTGTCAGCTTCTTCCTTTTCAGAGTTCAACGTTTCAAGTTTAGCATTGAGTGAATCAATAGAAGATATCTTAGAAGCGAGAGCATTCTTAGTTGTATTGAGCTCTTCCTCAAGTTGTTGTACTCTAGAATTTGCAAGCTCAAGGCTCCTTTTAGTTTCATTTGTGAAAGCGGTCAGCTTTTGGTAGTCTACTTCCTTCGAGGAAAGTGCTGCACAGAGTTCCCTGATGTGCTTCTCCTTATCATCAATTTCTTGGCTGAGTAAACTTATCTTTTCCTGCAAAACACTAATCTCACCAAGCTTTTCTTCCAATTTAGTTTTAAGCATATCCTTATCAATGCCAGCTTGTCTGATACTACTCTCTAATCTCTGTATTTCATCCCTAAGTTCCTCAGCTAATTTCTTCTCCTTTCTGAATTCTTCACTCAGTGATGTCAAAGTCTTTGTTGCTGAAGCCAACTGACCTGAAAGAGAAACTTCCTGCTCCTGGAATTTCATAGATTGCTTCTTTTGTGCTGCTTGCTGCTGCAGTAACCGTTTCTCATAGTTTTCCCTCATCAAAGAAAGTGCTGCCTCATTTTCAGCCAATTTGCTCTCCGTCTGAAGAAGGTAGAACATTGAATATATCAGGTCTCCAGTTTCCATAGATCAACTTTTAGAAAATAGAACAATTAGCATATCAAAGGTGTTCAAAATACTTTTGGTAGCTTTCTGTATTCATAAGACATTACAGATGTCGGCTTTTTTTAGAATCATGGTGGAAAAATGGTAATACAATGAATCATTAGGTTTTCACAGAGTTTTATCCTCTTTAACGTTCCTACTCTCATGTATGAAATAATGAAACAAAACCTGGACTTGCAAAAACATATAACTCGGAGTTTGGTCCCTTCTAGAGAGCATCCAGAGCCGCACTTTCTCGATCGGACGCGTCTGAGGGAGCATGACCAGACTCAGGGCTGAGTCCGGTCCTCACTGCTGCTATGCGCCAACAGTTTTGCCGCCACGTCACCATACGTCATCGTTGACCGTACCTAGAAGCTGCGCGTACGATCACCTCCTCACGCCAGCGTCCGATCAACCAGGCCGAGACCGCACCACTGCTCCACTACTGACTGGACGCGCAAGTCCAGCGTCCGGTCCGACGTCCAGTCAGCACAATGACCTCCTCGACTTCCCAAACTTCACCACCCTTGCTCAAATATGCCAACCACCAAGTGTATCACCTTGTGCACATGTGTTAGAATATTTTCACAAACATTTTCAAGGGTGTTAGCACTCACTAGAATCTAAATGCATATGCAAAGAGTTAGAACATCTAGTGGCACTTTGATAACCGCATTTCGATACGAGTTTCACCATTCTTAATAGTATGACTATCGATCCTAAATGTGATCACACTCGCTAAGTGTCTCGATCACCAAACCAAAAAGCTCATATCAAATTTCACCTTTGCCTTGAGCTTTTTGTTTTTCTCTTTCTTCTTTTCCAAATCCAAGCACTTGATCATCACCATGGTCACACCATCATCATGATCTTCACCATTGCTCCACCATTTGAAATAGTGCTACCTATCTAATGGTCACTTTAATAAACTAGGTTAGCACTTAGAGTTTTATCAATTTACTAAAACCAAACTAGAGCTTTCAGCAGCGCTTGTGAGCGGCAAGCCAGCGACAATGGCTGGACGTCGCGAAGAGAGGCATCGGCCGCACAAGCGGCGAGGAGGCCACGGTCACGTGACTTGGAGAGGGCAACAGCGCGTCATGCATGGCAAGGCCAGCGCCCAAGCGGTGCACCTCGGAGGGCCAGCTGTCGTGCGCTCGGAGGCGGCGGACGAGCGGATAAGAGCGATAGGAAGATAAACGAGTGAATAGGAATAAGTGGATGAGTAGTTTTTTTTAGAAATGAAGGAGCGTGGGTTGTTGTGATGGCGTCGTGGCCCAGCAACGCGCGTCCGGGCAGACGGACGCCCGGTTCAGAGCATTACCGCTACTAAATCGGCTAGGTCGACTTGTTGCTGCCGTTGCGATTTCGATCACGAGTGGTTTGTACGAGTTTCGTGTGATCTTAGCGTGCTAATCCTTTGAATGTGTGACCGGCCATTGTCATTTTCTTATAACGTTCTTTGCAAGGTGACATGTAGAGGTGTGTAAAAAATATTTCTTCCATCCCAAAATAGAGCGTATATTTCGCTTCTCGAGGAATCAAATTTATTTTAAGTTTGACTAAAAATATAAAAAAATAATACTGGTATTTGTATCTTCAAATAAATTTATTACGAAAGTATATTCCATGTCTGATCTAATGATACTTATAAAAATATTAGTATTATAAAATATTTCATCGAATTTTAAAAAGTGACTCATCATAAAACAAGGTATGTGCTTATCTGGGACGGAGGGAGTATGACTTATCATGTAACTTTTTTAAAAATGAACAGTGGTAAAACTAGACCTTTTTGTGTAATGTTTTATGGAACCCTACCATGACCACTTTTGTGTTTGTTTTCCGTTTCGAATCATTATAAATGTAGACATTCATACATGTATGCACACTCATTCTTATGGAAACATGTACATATCTTGCCTCTATAAACACCTTTAAGACTGAGCTAGCAGATCTCGAAATTGATAAATTCGCCTAAAGTACCTCGCCATCGGTGGACACGCCGTATCCTCTATGGTTTGATTTATTAAAATACAAGTGCTCATATTAATTGATAAATCTAAAAGGCACAAGCATAGGTCACTTGAAATACCGGGAGAGGAATAGTGGTCCGAGCGCAGATAACGAAGGAGAGGGTAGTACCCCTGGCCGTACGAATGGCTGTGATTTTTTTTAAACAAGCAGCCTGTTCGCTTGTTGGTTTCAGCCAGCCCAAATCAGCCAATCAACAGTGTTTTCCTCTCACAAAAAACCAGCACCAGCCAACCCAAACCAGCACCAGCACCAACCAGCGAACAGGCCCAAGGGCTGTGATTTTTTTTAGGTCTTCGTGTGAGGTAATCAGAGTACCCTAGCAACTTGATCCGAATGCCCAGTAATGTTAGTGGTAAAACTGATTTGTAGTACTGTAACATTAGTCGTCTTTGGTTTCGCGCTACATATGTACAGTACATGCATACACAAAACTAAACTGCTTGATCACAATCACCTCGACAATCTGGTGACGCACGAGTCACGAACCCAGCTGCGCCTACCTACATATGCCTCAAATTTGTTAGCATCTGTTGCTTTGCAGCCGTGCTGGATGGCCATCTTCGTCGCTTCTCCGTTTTGCTGTCACGCTAAGTATCTTTTTTCTCGATCAGAAGGAGTGGCCATATCCCATATGGGACTGACTGAATAGATAAGAGGAGTCGTCGATACTCGAGAGCAAGCGCTGCTTTCATCTTCCGAGAGAGAGAGAGAGAGAGCTCGTACGCGAGGGTAATAACATACTCCATCCATCCGAAAATAAACGGACGTCTCATTTTTTAAAGTAAGTTTAACTGAATATGTAGAAAACAATATCAAGATTTAAATAAATAAGTTTACTATAAAGGTATATCTTTCATGTTCAATCTAATAGCACTTACGATTTATCATGAATACTAATATATTTTTTATATATTTAGTCATCAAACTTTAAAAGATTTGACTCCTTAGAAAATGAGGCGCGTGTTTATTTTACGACGAAGTGAGTACTCACTCTAGCTTGTTTACCTTGTCCAACAAAAAAGCCGACAATATCAAATAATAATATGTTACCTCAATCTAAAAAGACTACAATTCTGGATTAAATTTTATTAAACCTGTTAAATTGAGCTAACTATATAGAAAATATTATTAACATTTGTAACTCCAAATAGGTATATACCATCAAAGTACACCTAAAACTAATCAAATGATACTTATTCAGTTATTTTTTACAGATTAGCAAACGTGTTCGTGTGTTGTAACGGAACCCAATAATTTTGAAATCGTATTCCATTCTATTATTAGACGTGAGTTGTTCTATCTCGTATGCGAACATATTATAAGTTACGATCACATATAGGACACGGAGGGTCGTTGCAAAAGAAAGTTTTGCTCTTTAATATTAATTATTGCTTATAGATATAGATATGATAGATACAGAGATAATATATAGACTATAGATATAGATATGATAGATATAGATTTATCTTATCAAATATAATATAGATATAGACATAGTATCTGGTTAAAATTGGAGCGAAGTAGTCCCAAACACTTCTAAATTTAAAATTGTTTGAGTCTCAGTAAAATGCATTTTTTACGGAGGGAGTATATCTCTGGCAAATCGTTAAGAAAGATGTACCAACTGACATTCGGCATCAGTGAGCAGAAATCTGATTATCTGAGTGAGGAGGTTCGTGGCATCTATACGGTGGGGCTCTTTCCCTGCGAGGCCAGGCAGATGCCGCGGCAGTACAGTGCGGCACATCTCCATCTGCTTTCTCAATTCTCATCGTTAGCTACCACTGCCTCTAGCCCTCTAGCCTCTATGGTGTTACCGTCGTCTGAACATGTTGGACTCCGTTTCGCGTGTAGGGACGGACGACGAAGCAATAAACAGAAACCCGCGAATTCGACGACGGGCAGTCGGGCAGGATCGCACGGATGACTGTACGTACACAGGTAGCAGTGTGAGACGTCCGTGACCCACATCGATCGGCAACACGGCAAGGGTGTGCACAACGCCTGGGAATGAGTCGTGGCCCGCCCCTAATCCAACCTCGACTCTATTTTTTAGAGCAGATGGCCCAATTAAAGATGGCAACGGGACCCGATCTCCGATTCCCCACGGTGAATTCTTGCATTAGGGGATGGGGATGGATGGAGGAATTAATCCCCATGGAGAAAGATTTGGTAGGAAAGCTGTCTCCGTCGGGGATGGCGGGGACGGGGATGGTTGCCTGGTCCCCGACCCCGATCCCCGCCAACCCGCCCCGCGAAGCTTTACGAAGCATGCAACATGCAGCCCATGTAAAGGCCCAGTAAGTCGCGGAGGTATATAACGCGCCACCAACCCTAATTCCTCAATCCCCAATTCCCCATCCGGTGACCGGTCACTCCCGTGATCCCATCCTCCAGCCACAGACGCAGACGCCGCTCTCTCGCTCTGGTTCTCGCACGCTCACCTCCAGCCGCAGCCGACACAATCTCCTCCCGCTCCCAGCTGCAGTAGTCGCTTGCCGGCTTGCCGCTCCCTTGCTACCCGCAGCAGCGCCACCGCAGACCCAGCGCAGAGGCACAAAGGCAACAAGCAGCAGCACAGAGGCGCTCAGGCCCACAAGCACAGCCGCTGCCGCAGACCCGGCGCCGCCGCCGCGGCCACTCCACCTCCAACAGCCACTCCACTCCACCGACCACTTGCAGTCACCGGAGCAGCTCACCGTCGGATCCACACCACCAGGGCCGCGCCACCTGCAGAGCATCATGGGAGACGCATCCGCACAACCTTCACCGCCGGCCACCATGGCTTCGCCCTCCCCGCCTCCAAGCTCGGACGATGATGAAATAAGGTGAAAAACTAAGACTCCATGTAGCCTGCACTCTTGCACTTTGCACAAGCGTGTCTTAGTCCTCTCTCTAGATTTTGCCTATCGGGCATGGGCGGGGTATGGGCCATGGTTGCG